TGTGAGCAGACACCATGACCAAGGCAAATTATAAAAGGAACTGTTTAATGTGGGCTTGCTTACAGTTTCAGAGGGTTAGTTTGTAACTGTCAAGGCAGGGTGCCTGACAGCAGGCAGGCATAGCATAGGAGCCATAGCTCCTGGGTAGGCCAAAACACATTAGCAGTCATGGTGGCGAACCTTTTGGGATGGGAAAAGGAGATACAGTTAGGACATCTGAAGTAAACCTACAATTCAGTGTTCTTGAATTTGCATTGAAAGCAATAATATTAATTCATGTTGTAATTTATCTTAGCAAAACCAAAAACTCCATTTCTAGCTCTGCTGTCGAAGAGGCCTAGCAGTAGTACACAATCCTGGTTGCCCAGAGAATTATCTATAAAGTCCTTTAAAGGTAACTAGGGCTCTTTGTAGAGTTAGTTGATCCCTGGTCTCTGTTTAAGACATACATGAAACATCTTGCCGTGTCAGGTGGCAAAGTTATAAAGACTTACTGGAGTCATTTCAGAAAGAACTCAGAAGGCAGTACTTATTTATACATGTGAGTAGTGGTTTAATGTATGTAAGGTTCTGGGTTTATCCCCAATATCATAAGCCCCAAAACACTCCCGCCATACAACAACACAGTGAAATCAAATCAGACTTTAAAACTTTGAAACAAACTTAAAGAGGCTTCTACTGGCCAATGGTGAGACAATTTGAACATCTAAAGAATAAGACATACATTAGGTTGGAGAGATGGCTCAGCATTAAGAGCAACTGGCTGCTCTTCAGAGGACCCAGCACCCACATGGCAGCAATTCACAACCATCTGTAACTCTAGTTCCAGAGGATCTGATACTCTCTTCTGGCCTCCGTGGCATCATGTACACATGTGGTGCACAGACATACGTGCAGGCAAACACTCCATACATATAAAATAGAAATAAATCTTTAAAAAAAACTTCAAAAATGTAGTAGGTTGAAACGTATCAAATGTGTTTTAGTTTATCCGTTTATAATGATACTAAAGTAAAAGTCAGTCATGTTGAAGGATACTGGATAACCAGCTCACTATTTACTATTTGTAAAGGTAGAAATAGAGTGCCACTGTTTAAGCTATAAGCACAGCTGAGTCTAAGCAGTGGGCATCAGTGTCTACAGACATTCCGTACCTCTTAATGGAAGCGTGACTAGAACAGATAACAGCAACAACATAATGGTGCCTGCATCTACTCAGAATTTATCTTTGCTGCTCTGAGTGTACTCTTTGTATCAATAACCTAAGTGTCAACCACAAGGTTTTGAAGTAAATGTCAAGCTCTATCCCAGAGCTGTTGATTCAAAACCAGCATTTTAAGAAGTCAGGTGATTCATATGTATAATTAAGTCTGAGTTACATTGTTTTATAAGGCACGTCCAAACTCTTCCACCAAGAAATTAAAAGGAAAAAAATGAGATGGAGGGGAAAACCTATAAAGGGAAAAAGATTTAGAAAGCATACCAGTCATCCACAAGATCTTACTTGGCACTCATTCAGATGAACACAAATCTTCAAATTATGAAACAGTCAGAAAATATCTTCAGTCTACCATAATCTATTTCAAAATAATCTGGTAGTGGAAAATAGGTGGGGCAAGTGGGATAGGATTGATCATGCCCTGTGGGTTGTTGAAGCTGAGTGACAGGTACAAAGAAATTCAATTTTTTTTGGGGGGGGTGGTTTTGAGACAGGTTTTCTCTGTGTAGTTTTGGTGCCTGTCCTGGATCTCGCTCTATAGACCAGGGTGTCCTTGAACTCACAGAGATCTACCTGGCTCTGCCTCCCCAGTGCTGGGATTAAAGGTGTGCACCACCACCACCTGGTGAAATTCAATTTTTTTTTGGGGGGGAGCTGAGGATCGAACCCAGGGCCTTGTGCTTGCTAGGCAAGCGCTCTACCACTGAGCTAAATCCCCAACCCCGAAATTCAATATTTTAATTTTGTATTTTAACCATTTTTTTTTAATAACAGCCAGAATAGAGAGACTGACTAGGATAGCATAATCATAAAGGAAGTATTGGTGAGGATGTGGGAATTATGTATGCTGGTGGGTTACAAAATGGTGTGGCTGCTTTGGAAAATGGTCTCTGCTCTTCACAAGACTGAACAGAATTCTGATTTAACCTTGCAGCTCTGCTCCAAGGTATATATCCAAGAGAAATATAAACATTCTTGCAAAACCTGTGTATAGGTGTTTTTGGCAACATTTTTCACAAGAGTGAAAAACCTTAGGAGCAGCTCAATGCCCACTGATTGATTAATGCATACATAAAATGAGGTATGATATAAAATACGATTAATTCTTAATATCTACCCCATCAATAGATGACTCTCAAAAGCATTACACTAAGAGGAAGACATCAGTCACAAAAGATCTGTATTATTCCATTTATATGCATTTTGTCAAGATCTCACGAGGGGAAAAGGGAGACATTTCTCATGATAGGGCTTTCTTTTGGGGATGATGAAAATATTCTAAAATTGCTGATGGTGATGATTATATACTTCTGTACAAATATATTAAAATTACTGAATTGTATGTACACTGTAACTGATGGGTTTTGTGGTAAGCAAATTCATATTAGTAGAGCTGTTGTGAAAGGAGGGAGAACATTATACTAATGTTCTTCTTTGCCCAGGAGTAATCAAAATAGGTCTTTGAGAAGAGGTTTGTGTAGGTGATCCTGATGTTCAGCCAGGTGATAAGCACTGTAGAAGGTAATTATTAAGGCTTGTTAGGAGAGAGGTGGGCTGCCTGTCAGATATGTTCGCTTAGAAGGGATGCCCCAGGGATGTTGTCCTAGTTGACCCAAAGCAATTAAGAATCTACAGGGAGGAACTGTCTGAATAAGCACAATTTATTCCATCATATTACCAGAATACCACTAAGCATAGAGGAGCCCTTTTTCTTCTTTGAGAAAGCTGTTAGATTGTGATTGAAAATCTTGACTTACACTCATAGGTGTTAAGTGTGCTCCCAAATGCCTTAGCGGCAGCAGCCTCCTTTCCTCCTCCTCCATCTCCATCATCATCATCTTGGGTCTCATTTGGTCTGGCTTTCTAGCTTCTTACTCAAGGTGAAAACATACTTTGTTGGTGACATTTTGGAGTCACCAAATCACAATACAAAAAAGGTGATCTAAATAACCTAACTAGTTAGTTAGGCATGTAGGCACATTTTCTGTTTCTTGAGTTGAAAGGCACAAAAGCAAGACTTCCAAAAACAAGAACATACATACAAAAAAGGGGGCTGGTGTAGGCAGAGTTTTCCTGTCCTGGGAGCCATTCCCATGAAGACTTAATTATAAATGCTCAGCCAATAGCTCAGGCTTGTCACTAGATAACTCTTACCCATATTTAAATTAACCCATATTTCTTATCTATGCTTTACCACATGGCTCGGTACCTTTTTTCAGTACGGCTTGCCCATCTTGCTTCTCCCTGCATCTGCTGGCGACTCCTCTGACTCCACCTTTCTTCCTCCCAGCATTTTCTCTGTGTCAGGCTGTCTCATCCAATCTCTTCCTGCCTAGCTATCAGCCAATCAGCTTTTTATTAACAATGAGAGCAATACATATTCACGGTGTATAGAAAGATTATTCCACAGCAGGCTGGAGAGATGGCTGAGAGGTTAAAAGCACTGCTTGCCCCTCTAGAGGACCTGAGTTTGTTTCCCAGCACCCAGCTCCAGTAGATCCAATGACCTTCATGGGCACTGATGTACACATGGCATTCGTGCACACATCAGTGAATAAAAATAAAAATAAATCTCAACAGAAAAGCTGACCTAACTTGCCCAAGTCTCTTTCTTTCAAAGAGCTTTAGATACTGGTCAAGATATGTTTCTTGTTTTGATTTTTGAGAGAAGGGCTCTTTATAGTCCAGACTAGCCTTGAGTTTATAGTCTGATTTAGCCTTTCTTTTTTTTTTTTTTTTTTTTTTTTTTTTTGGTTTTTCGAGACAGGGTTTCTCTGTGTAGCTTTGCGCCTTTCCTGGAACTCACTTGGTAGTCCAGGCTGGCCTCGAACTCACAGAGATCCTCCTGGCTCTGTCTCCCGAGTGCTGGGTTGAAAGGCGTGCACCACCACCCTCCGGCTGATTTAGCCTTTCTAACTGATGTACAGTTTCATACTAGACTATCTATTTATTCATTTTATATTTTAAATTTGTTCATTGTTTTGTTGCCTAGAGAGCAGAAATGAAGTTGACTATATTCCCATTTTTCTTCAGAAGCTTTTATTGTTCAGAAAACAGCCTGCTGTATTCCTGGCTGAGCAGAGAGGGAATTTGAAGGTGTAGTGGCATGGTACCTGCATTTTGAAGACAAGCCATGCAGAACTAGCCTTTGATTGTTTTGACTACCCCTGAGCAAGCTATTTGCTGCCCTGGACAGTTTAACGTTTGGACCAGGGTACTCCTGGGTTAAAATGCCCTTTGAGGCTTTGTTTTCAGAAGCTGTTAAACGTGGAGTGGTGGTGAAGAGTTTGTATTCTAGATCTAGGATGGATTACCTGTGTCCACCATATCCGAGTAATCCCTCTCTAACTTTGGACAAGTTGGTTAATCTTTTTATGCCTTAGCTTCCCATCTCCAAAACAGGAGTGAATAATTAATCTACCTCAAGATGTTCCTGAAAGTGTTTGGAGCTGACTATGGTGTTGGTATTGTTCCCTTCTGTAATGAGGTGCTCCCTCTAATTCAGTCATTACCAAAACTTGGATATCTTACTCCCAAATGCAGTGTGTGTCTGCTGTTTCAGTCTGTAGAACTTTGTGGGCAGGTAAGAAATCAGGCACACAGAAGCACCCGGCCAGAAGATGGAAGTGTTCCAGTCAGGTGCTCTACCATTTGCTCTGGTCTCTTCCTCTACTCCAAGATAGGAAGTTTTGAATGAAAACAACTCTAGTATTTTATGGCATGTATTACACACCTAATACTACTTTCCCTCTTTTTCTTCCTGCCCTACATCCCCATATAGATCAGTCCTTCTCGGGTCACGGGGACTTGACATATCCCACATCTCCCAGAGATTGGAGAGTCTGAGTGCAGCAACTACTTTTGAACCTCTTGAGCCTGTGAAGGACACAGACATTCAGGTAAGAGCTGCCAGCTGCAGGTGCAGCCTGGAGCATGTACCCAGGCTGTAGGCTTGGCCCTTTCTTCACCAATTGAGTTAAGACTGCCACTTCCTTCATTAATTTTCTTCTTACCCAGCTACTAAAAGAACAGGAGACTCAGGTTTGGAGATACAGAGGGGGACCGTTGGGTTGTTTTCAGAGTGCTCATTGTGGCTAAATTTAAGAAAGCAATTCCAACCTGTACTTTTTAGATAAATTCTGGTTCTGAGAACAGATTTCACTTCCTGACTTGGGCTTAATCCAAGGCACAGAGACAGGAGTCGTTAGGTTTCTCTTGCTTGCTCTGCTGGATCTCAGATAACTTTACTATTTGTTCACATTTCTTTTTGCATCTTGCTTGTATTGGAACTTAAAGTGCTATTTACTGAAATCAACTCAGTGATTTCCAGGAAGTATTTGGCTGCATTAGTGATACCAGGAAATGGCCTAATAGAGCACCCCAATCTCATTGAGCCCGACATGCCACTACTGCTGATTGCTGTTTTAATCTAATCAGAAACTGCTGTAAACTTGTTAAGGAGAAACCTCATGGTTTGTTTGGTGTAGGAATGAAAGCACAGCATGGAGTGCTGGGCCGGACCTTGCCATGCAGTGCCCTGCTGTTTTCGTTGGTTTACCTGGTCCTGTTTTTGTTTGTTTGCTCGATGGGACACACTCTTGTATGGTCTGGCCTCAAGTGATCATGATCCCCCACTCCTGAGTAGTGGGGACTGGGCCACCGCTGACCTTGATTTCCTTTGAAATAAAAAGAATTCAGGTGCCACAAAGGCAGGTCCAGGAAGAAATGGGTGGTAATTGTGTGCTCTATGAGCTGGGCTTAATAGTGTATCCCTAAACTCGTTGAAGACCTCTGATAGTTCATCTGATAACTACATTTCTGAATTTAATCTAATTTGAAAACCTGTACTTTTGAGAGCAGACTAGAAATAACTGATATTCATGATTTCTTCCATTATTGATATGTTCCCAAAATAGGAAAACACAGAGGTTTTTATTTTATTTTGCTTTTATAACAAACATTACCTAATCTCAAGTGCAACTGCTAGAGTTCTATGATAATGCTTTTAACATTGATGACATGATGTGAATGGGACAGAACTCAAATACTATGAATAATCAACATATATTTTGGGAACTGGTTCTGGCTGTAGGGTTAAGAGTTATTATCTCTTCTAACCATTTGCTTAATGTAAGAACATCCTCCTTTAGCACCCATTAGATGGTTTCCTAGCAATGTATGCTCAGTCACATCAGAATTTCTTAATTTGGAATGATTATTGCTGTGAGTTTTAGTCTTGTGTAGGGAAATCTTTGAACTTTAAAACTAAAGTAGCTTTAGTTTTTAGAATTTCCCCTCTTATTTGGACTTTACCATAATAGCTTTAAAATGCGAAATAATTACTCCAAGACCATTATGTGTATGTTCCAGTGTGTTTGCCCACAGTAAATTGATGGTTTTAATTACGATAATGTGGCTCAGTTGATCTCAACCTGTGGGTTGTTCCAACCTCTTTGGGGGTGGGGATGTCAACTGTCCCTTTCACAGGGGTCACATATTAGATGTATACATTACAATTCATAACAGTAGCAAAATTACATTTATAAAGTAGCAGTGATAGTAATTTTATGGTTGGGGGTCACCACAACATGAGGAACTGTATTAAAGAGTTGCAGCATTAGGAAGGTTGAGAACCACTGATTTGTGCTCACATTTGATGTAAGTCCAGCAGTATCGTGTTGGATCCTGATTAATGTAGTGCCACTATTAGTGTTGAGTGGTTCTCCTTTCTCTTTTTCTTCTGGTCTGCTTTGGTTGTGGATAGGAGTTAAACTGGACATCCTCAGTTGCTTGGTTTAGAAGTCAAGCTGGTGGTCTGTTTTCCATTCACATATCATACACCTGATAGAATTACAAGTGTGAGTTACTACATCCTGCTTGATTGACTTTTGTATTGATATATGAACTTTTGTATTTAAAATGGTGAATTTTTTTTTAGACAAAAATATACTATATCATAACCCCGAAGGCCAAGTATTAGAGTAGAACTGTCGAGTGTGTTTCTAAGATCCTGATTGCACTGTCGCGAAAGGAAGGGCTGGCACAGTCTCTGACAGATGCTGGTCAGGACCTCACTGCTTGTTGTTTGCTGTCTTATAAGCTCAGAAGGCATGTTTCCATGTGCATACTGTCTCTTTCTATTTCCTTCTGTTTCTAATGGAGCTTGAAATTAATATGGGTTTTGTTTCTGCTGTTTTGTTTGTCCTAATCAATGGTGCTGGCATGCATTGAGAATACATTTTTAAAAAGTTGCTGTGGCCAGCAACGGAAATATATCTTCGAAACCACTTAAATATACATATGAATGATACTTAATAGAATTTTTGAAAATGTTTATTGATTTTACTTTTTGGAAACAATCAAAGAAGGCCTATACAGATTTGTGTAAGAGTAATAATGTACTAGGATATAACTGCTGAATTGACTATACTGGACTAATCAAAGTGACTTTGTAGTACATGGGCACGAGGTTTACAGAGATCCACTTGCTCTTCAGTCTTGACCCCCCCCCCAAAAAAAAGGGACAGATTGCATGTCTTCACCATGATCTGAACAGATCTCGTGGATCATATAAGAACAGTAATTTACGTTGGTTTCACATAGTTGTATTGTGGGCTTTTCACTACATTGCATGTATATTTCAGTAAGGCTGTGCAGAGATAGCCTGTTCAGGCCATACAAATGGGAGCTACATTTCTCAGTGTTAAAGCTGTAATATTTCTAAATGGCATTAAATCAACATTTCAATAATTGCACCTAATTACCAGAAACTAATATTAATAGGTGCCCAAGGACAATGGGAATTTATTCTTTTACATTTTTGAGTTCTGAAATTTGAAATCAAATGTTAGCACCCGTCCAGAGCTCTAGGGGAGAAGCCCTCCTCCAGGTTTTGGTGGTTTCTCCTTTCTTGGTTTGTGGCAGCATCTCATTCTCCCACTCTGCCTTTATAGGTTCTTCCTGGTGTTCAGAGTGAAATGACCATGTCAGTTCACATGATCCATCTTAAAGCACTGTTGTAAAAAGGAAAGGCAGGTGCATTCATTGGACGATTTCATCTCGAGATCCTTAACTTAGTCACATTTACAAGGAAGATTATGTTTACAAGTTCTCAGGGTTAAGTTTTGAACATTTCTTTCTGGGAACATTCTTCAACCCAGTATGCTTATAGTGTCAGAAATGTTCAATCTTTTTTTTTTTTTCTTTTGATCTGAGGACCGAACCCAGGGCCTTGCACTTGCTAGGCAAGCACTCTACCACTGAGCTAAATCCCCAAACCCAGAAATGTTCAATCTTTCACTCAAAATCATGAAACATCTTCAGCTGAACTCCATGGAGAGTACTGGAGTGGGCACTTAGCATCCTCAGTTTTCTTTTGGGGCTTTTAGGAAGTTAGGCTGACCACACACATCTCGATTCCCGAGTTCAGTGCCACGAGTTCTATCCAAACAGGTCACCAAACAATATAATGTGTTAGAAAAATGTCAGTCCAGACCTTTTCAGTTACAAACAGTCTGCTGCTTATAACGCATAAGACCAGAAAGCTCTCTCCACTTCTTTACTTCATAGGGTAAAGAAGCAATGTAGCCTTTGGTCTCCTGGTACTACTGTGTAGCCCATGCTGGCCTCCAACTTCATAATCTGCCTTAATTAGCAGCAGATTATGTTTTATAAGAGTAAAGGGGAAGCAAGTATTGAGTAAAGGATACATTATCATGAGAAAATTAAGTCAGGAAAGCTGATATGTCACATGTACAGCATTGGTGTTGAGATGCTTGTTAAGCCATTTGCTTACCACACTGTATTTATGATAAAATATTCACTGTTTTTCTTCTTTTTCTGTTCTTGGAAATGTAGAGTATGCTCAGACCACTCAGTTTATTTTTTAAACAGTAAGAAGAGAAACTGAATGTCTTTGTGAGTTTAAAAAATCAATGCTGTAACCCCTTATCATCCAAATTGTTATTTTCAGTTTGTCTTTTGATTTTCTATCTTGAGAAAGAGACAGTATCATTTAAACACAGCTATATAAAAAATGAAAGAGGAAAAGAAGCTGTGGTGCTCACTAATTGTGTGTTTGGAACAGGTTGCAGAAATCCTGTGCAGTTTGCTGAAGATAGTGTTGGATTTGCCAGAATGATTGGCATGATGAGTAGCAACTCTTTGGGAACATTACTGGGTAAATATTAATTCTGTAAAAGAAGAACAGCTGGAAACGTCTTCTAGTCTGAATTAGTTGAGGGCAAGTACAGTTGGAGTGGGCAAACCAGATCTCAATACTGGGGCTACTGCACTGCTTTTATTTTATTTGTGTGAGTATGTGGTTGGTATTGTTTTTAGATACAGACTTGCTCTGTGCACCAGGCTGGCCTTAAGATCTTCCTTCCTCTGCTTACTGGGACTAAGTTGTGATCCAGTATGCCAGGCTCTAGGACTCTTGTTTTTTTTTTTTTTACAAGAGTCTCACTGTATAACTTCGGCTAGCCTGGAGCTTACTATTAAAACAAGTCACCCTCTGCCTCCCAGTGCTGGGTTTAAAGCGTGTTCCACCACACCTGGTTCTAGAACTGTTTTTAAAGAAATGAGTTTCTTTGCTTTTCATCTGTATCTAGAAGCGAAGGTCTAGCAGAGCTTGGTAGGAAGCTTACAGACAGATGAGGTTCATTCATAAGGTTTACATCCATTTGCATGCTGACCATTTGTTCTGCAATCCTGAGAGATGGTTTGAGTAGGCAAACACATAACTTCTGTCTTGCTCTTCTATGCTTCATATGCTTGAGCAGGTTTCTCTGCACCAAATGGTGATCTAAAGTGAACTAAGTGATTGGAAACTTTGAATTGATGGACTGTGGACTGAAGAAATAGGACTTTTTATTCTCTACACATTTCCACGTAATAG